GGCTGTGGCTATGGCTCCCGCTATGGCTGTGGCTATGGCTCAGGCTATGGCTGTGGCTATGGCTCAGGCTATGGCTGTGGCTATGGTTCTAGATATGGCTGTGGCTATGGCTCCCGCTATGGCTGTGGCTATGGTTCTGGATATGGCTGTGGCTATGGCTCCGGATATGGCTGTGGCTATGGCTCCGGATATGGCTGTGGCTATGGCTCCGGATATGGCTGTGGCTATGGTTCTGGATATGGCTGTGGCTATGGCTCCAGATATGGCTCTTCCTGCTGTAGCTACCGGCCAATTGTCTACAGGAGATGCTATTCTTCTTGCTGTTAAACATCACCACAAGGCAGAATTTCTTCTAAAATCATCACTCAAGGAATTTCTTCTTTGTTGACTATGATCACTACTGAATCCAGCATTTTGAACCTGAAGAAGATCTTTGTCCTCTTGGCAGTCCAGTGTGGCAGTTGCTGAGGAAATTAGTTACTCCATGATCTTGGAAAGTAGAAGGCATGGTTTAAGCCATGGAGCAAGTTATAACCCTCTGACTTTGACTCCAAATTTCTACATTGTGATCATTTCCAAATAAACCTGATTCTTTGCTCCTAATAATTTTGTGTATCTGTTTTCTCAGACGTGGCTAGTGAGTTACACCCTGTCTTCTATGTCTGTTACCTTCTCAGAGTCTGTCAGAGCTAATCTCAGTGTCATTCCAACTGTCTTACTTGTCTCCACTAAATTGCTCATCACCCACGACTTACTGAAGGATATTTGCCATGATCGTCCTTAACAAAATGGGTCATCATTGGTTGAGTCTAGTGCTCTTAATTCATTATAAGGAAGATTTTATTCCTAAACATTTGTTCTTCATGTCTCTGGGTCTATCTGTTTCTATAGACTTACATTCAAAAACACCTGCAACTACTTATTAACACAGATAAATGTCTCAATTTGGAAATACGAGTGGTGAAAATTAGTTAGTCAGTGTAAAAGTTAAGGAAAACAAATAGGGAGGGTCAAATGCACTCAAGTTAATTCCAGCACAATTTAAATCAGCCAAATTTGGGAAACAGTCTACATGTCCAACAATATTGGGTTGGTTAAGAACATGTAACACATACATATTCAAATGCTAGCTGATGATCATAAACATGAAATTTTGCCACTTGGCAGCATCTATAATGGAACTGGCAGGGATTATGTTAGGTGATACAATTCAGAAAGGGAAAGAACAATATTGAATGATCTGACTCTTATGTGCAACATACTTAAGATGAAAGGACAGGGTGACATTTGAACACATTTGAAAAAGGAATATCTTCCTAATTGTGTACTCTACTACCATGTGTTCATACCCAGGAACAACCAGCCTCTACTAATGTTATTTTAGAGGAAAATTACAAACTCATAGAGAGGGGTACAGTGAATCCATTTATAAATACCTTTCTATTCTCACTGTGCTCTAGAAAATAATTGCTTAGGAACAAATAACTCCTCTGGAGTTTGGTGTGAAAAGGTGATACTGATGGCATGAAAAAGCATAGCTGGAACCATTTTGTTTCTGCACATTGAAGTGTGGCCAGTGATAAATGTTTAATGGTGCATTAAGTACAAGATGGAAAAATGTAAATTCTACTAAAAGTTTAGCTTTTTAGCTTAACGTGTTCATGCAATATTCAGGTCATACTTGCTAAAGCAGGCAACTCTAAGTTATATGACAGAGATAATTTGCTGATTTCCTGGGTGAAGCGTTGGTTCTAATATTAGGAGTGAGCTTTTGACTTGAGATCCTACTTGAATATACTTACATTTCCCCAAGATTGGGGGAAAATAAATGAATTAATGTCTGAGCTGCTATTTTCTTTAATTTGGTAATTTTAAAAGACTGCTTATATAGTTCTTAATTATGTAGGCAGACATGTGTTAGATGGCTTGGAGATCTTGTTCACATTCAGCTGAAGTGAGGAACCATTGACACCAAAGTCAAGAACAGAACATTTGGAAATAAAAGTGGGAAGGGGAGAAGCACTATCAACCATAATTGATTAGCCTTACACAGTGTTGAAAATTAATGTTCCTCAATGGAGAAAAAAACAGTTTCAAGTTTATTTGGATTCATAAGATACATGACATTGAACAGTGAGGCGTTTCTATGTAAGGTCGCATGAGTTATACTGAGATCCCCCTACAAAGGGATCATTTTTGGCAAGTTAGTCAAAGTTATTAGTCAAGCTTATTTTAATAGTTGTATTCTCAAATTTAAGCTAACATATACTCCAACAAAAAGAATTATCTCACCCACACCAGTTCCACCTGTGTTGCTGTACATGGACAGACTTTGTCACTTTTACAGCTGAGTAGTCGCCCTGTGCAGGCAGACCACACTCTATCCACGCATCGATACTTGGGTACTTGGGTCCTTTCAGTGTTGTGACCAGTATAAACAGTGCTTCAAGGAACAAAGGTGTGCATATCACCCTCAGATTCATGTCTTTGTACTCTCTGGTAGTTACCTCAGTGTGAAATTGCTTGATCATATGGAAAAATCTATTGTTACTATTTGGAATTTAACCCACCTAATTTTAGCTTATTTTTTGTTTTGTCTTGTTTTTTTTTTTTTCCCTCTATTCCTGTAGTTTTCTTAATGATCAGACTGTGATCCATAAAGGCACTTCATTGTCAAATCTTATTTTACTTTTCTCTAAGTTTTGATCCTCCTATATTGCATTATTTTCCATTTTTGCTTTTCATTTCCCATACCAGTACATCTTATCTGCTACTATTGATTTAACTACCACCTATACACAAATGACTCATAACTTTAAAGCTTTCTGAGTCAGTCTGTGTCCAGTAAATAAATAGGAACCTCACTTTAGGTTAAATAGGGAATGATTGCTAATAACATGAACATTTAAAGTATAAATAAAGGGTGATTATAGGGTAGATTATAGAGAAGATTCTGTATGGGTGCTAGGATGTGGAAGTATACCCTAAAAAGGCAAAACTTGAAAAAGACAGTTCAGCACTCTGGATAGTAGAACTATTCACCCTTAGGCCAGGCCAGCGCTGTTCTCTATTCAGTGGACCAGCAGGAGCTATTTTCTATGCAGATGGCAGTCAATGATTTAGCAAGTGGTAGAATGTCTAGAAACTTAGGGACACAGGCAGCTCAGAGGGAGAGGATAGCAAGAGAGGGAATATGTATGTCTGTGTTTTTGAAGGCTACAGACACGTGACTGAGAAATCTTAACATGCTAATTTCAACTGAAGGGGAGAAACTAACAAAAACATGAGCTTGAGACTGCAATATCACTGCAAGGTCTGCCACTGAATTCAGTTTCACCAAATGCCCTCTCATCCCCATTGCCATTATTTATCTCCTCCCAGGGCAGCGAACAATTCATTTAGACTGTCTTTCTCTGTAATTTCTCCCCTGAAACACTCTGTACTGAGAAAAGTTATCCATGCTTACATTAAAGAGGAAATTTGTGAAGGTATCACATCAGTCATTATAGAGCTTATGTTGAAAGTCTTGCAAAGATGAGAGGCAGTAAGTTCAGAGCAATCTTCGCCCAGTATAGAGGCTCTTCAGAGAAAAAGCCTTTCATGGTAAAATGTGTCAGACCCATTTACTAATATTTGACGATGGGAAATGTTCCCAAATTTATAACTTTATTCTCTGCATCTGCTAAATAAAAATAAGTGCATTAAAAATGTATTGGGGTCTATAGGAAATATAAAGGAAGTACAAAATGTGAAGCACAGGTCCTGCTATATTGGTTTTTATACCATCTTTTACTTTTCCCTCTTTCTTGTATCCAAACGTAAGCATTTCCCAGTAATAGGTTTTCAAATATTTGTATTTACTTGGACGGATGCATTTCTTGTATTAAATGATAAGGCTTTAATGTAAAATAAGCATACAATCCGGAAAGAGAAAGGCCATTGCAGGACATAACTTTCATATATGGAATATAAAAAACGAAGTGGAGGAACAACAAGCAAAGCAAAACAAAACATATCCTAGAAATCTGACTGTAGAGCTGGCAAGTAAGAGACCCAATGCTGTACACTGAAGAATTATTAGGGCTCTGGTGGTTGGTGTACTCTGGGAACATATGTTTGTCGAGGCATGTACCTTGCTTCTAAATCATGTACAGGGCTGTAGCCAATGTACTGCAATAAAAATAATTTTAAATGTAAAATCTAAATTTAGGTGCATAAAATAAAGCCATGAAATAATGAACTATTATTAATATCATGGTTGGAAGGTGTTCAACACTAATATAGGTCCATGTTATTACTCAAACATTGTTAAAAATACACATGAGAATAAAATCAATAAAATTCCACTGCAAGCACTGATAATTGATTGACCACATGTCAGTGGCGATCATGATTCCTTAACCCATATGAGAAACCTTAAAATGAGACTTGCATTGAGTTCTTAAACCCACGGTATTTTTTTAAGTCAAAGATCAAATTCCTACAAAATTAATTATTATTCATTCAATAATTAACAATAAGTGTTACAGGTGTATTCACTAAAAGATTTTTGTCCTAGGTGTATTCACTAAAAGATTTTTGTCCTAAAGAAAAAACATGAGATGTCATAAACTGGTAAGAAAGGATAGGTGTATTCACTAAAAGATTTTTGTCCTAAAGAAAAAAACATGAGATGTCATAAACTGGTAAGAAAGGATAGGTGTATTCACTAAAAGATTTTTGTCCTAAAGAAAAAAACATGAGATGTCATAAACTGGTAAGAAAGGATGAGACAGACCAGATTACCTTTGGAGGGAAGGCTATTATTTCAGGGGGTGTATGTAGCATTTGGAATCCCCAATTGCTTGTTTAAAATCCAGGAAAAGTACTTTACGTTATTTACCTTACTAGTGGGGAAAAAAGGAAAGCAAAATTATATGATAATGCTGGTGATAATTAGGATGAGGGGAGTATGTTAATAGAAGTGAGTAGAACTTCGTTTTTGATAGCTGCTTTCTAAACATTGAAAGAGCAAAATAATAAACGTGAATATTTGTGCCAAACCTATTTGTTAAATGTGTTATGTCATAACCATGAAAGATGATTATGGAAGCAAAATTAGGGTTATATAAGCTTGGTTGTTTACCACATATATATTTTGTTTAAAATAACCATTAGAAAATTCCTAGCATGACAGTAAGGTATGTGACATTCTGTACACAGAATGAGCTCATTTTAACAAATAGCTGTAAAATGAGAATAGAGCCCATGTGAGGTAGGACACGCCCATTCCTGGAAGTATATAAGTGTCCTGCAAGAGCAGTTGATACTCAGACTTCTGAAAGATCTTTCTACAGGTCAACTGAAACTTCACCTTCTGACAACATGTGTTGCAACTACTTTGGAAACTCCTGTGGGAGCTATGGCTGTGGCCTTGGCTATGGCTCAGGCTATGGCTGTGGCTATGGTTCT